CTGATTTCACATAGAACTACTGGTTTTCTGTCAATACGTTAATATACAGCCTATTATGATAATGCTGTCAATAAAAATGTGCAAAGAAAGAAGCTTTTAATAAATATTTTTTAACGTGCGTGCAGCATGAATAAATCCAAACACCCCGTGACAGATTTAAGTTTCACTTTCGATCCGTGACCGACAGAGGAGCGTCTTGTCGGCAGGGATTTAAATCTTTAAAAATGTCTGGGATAAGAAAATCCACCATCAGAAAGGATATTCTCCAAGGCTGGATTTAGCATCAGGAAAACCATGATCGCACTTCTGCCGGCCAACGTTAACAGGATGGTTTTCCTCGGGACGTTCTAAAACGCTTAACGTGAAAAAAGCTTTTAAAACGCTTAAATGGCACTTTTACGTGCTTAATGTATGTACACAGTAGGCTACACACCTTAAGAAACCATTCCATGTGCAGATAAGCAGATGAACCCAGAATATGAACGCAACGCGTTTCTCCTATAGAAAGTCACGTAAAGCTTTTTCTTCAACGGTTTTCTATGGGAGGAAAATGCTTAACGTAGCCTATAATAAAACCCGTTGCGTTCATATTCTGGGCTCATCTGCTTTTCTGTAGGCTATATAGTATGCTTTATTAATAAGGTGTGTACAGAATTTGATCTTTAATATAACTGTTTTAGGACAAAGCCGTTAAGCGTTTTTCACGTTAAGCGTTTTAGAATGTATTTTATCCGCGCACACAATTTGAAAAGACTCAAACGGACACAGAGTGAAAGACTGAATTTTGTTTTTTCGATCAGGTATGGGTACAAGTGATTTTAAAACATTTCAGCCGGTTCTAATTTGATTTTTGGATACTGTGAACACGTTTAGCTAAAAAGACTGCCGCTCCAGTTTAGCGTTTATTGTTGTTTCTGCAGTTAAAAAGACAAAGTTGACAATCCTGGCCGTACTTTCCTTATTTTAATAATTTCTTTATTTTTATTTTATTAATTGATCACTCAGGGTGATCTAATTTAACTATTCGTGACTTGTGCAGTGTGGCCTTTCTGCAGTTATATATGTTATTTCTTAGTTTTATTGATCCAAAATGTTTTTATATATTTTCTTCTATATCTTTGTGTGATGTTCTGTATATCGCGGCTTTAAAATGTTAAAGCCCCGCCCCCTCCCCAACACCACACACATGATTCGACTATTAGTCGACTATAGGCAGGACTGGACGAATCTGATTCGACTATGAAAATCCTTAGTCGGGGACACCCCTACCAACAATACAGGAAAGCCTTTAACAACAAATATGTTGCCATATCACCCTGTAGCCCAAGACTTGATGCCCACTGAAGCTAAGCAGGGTTGAGTCTGGTCAGTACCTGGATGGGAGACCTCCTGGGAAAACTAGGTTTCTACTGGAAGAGGTGTTAGTGAGGCCAGCAGGGAGTGCTCACCCTGTGGTCTGTGTGGGTCCTAACGCCCTAGTATAGTGACACTTTGACACTATACTGTCAAAGAGCACCGTTCTTCGGATGAGACGTTAAACTGAGGTACTAACTCTCTGTGGAGGCCATGTAAACGAAAGTCGTGATCTACGACAGTCACCGTTGTCTCCATGGCAGAAGGTAATTTGGGCAAGGGAATGAAATGAGCCGCCTTCGAGAGCTGGCCCACTACGGTTAAAACGACCGTCATGCCATTAGTGGGCGAGAGGGCGGTGACAAAATCTAGCGCTATGTGGGACCAGGGTCTCGAAGGGACAGACAGCGGTTGGAGTAACCCATCAGGAGGTCGGTTAGATGTCTTACCAGTGGCACAAATCAAGCAAGCCAAAACAAAACTGCTAATGTCGCAAGCCATTAATGGCCACCGGAATTGTTGCTTTACTTAACGCCTGGTGCAGTTTACTCCTGGATGACAAGCCACGTTGGAGCAATGACCCCATCAAATAACTTCGGCCCGTAACTCCCCCGGTACAAACGCTGGAGGTGTTACCTCTTCTAAGGCTGCTTTGACCTTCGTTTCAACCTCCCATTTGAGTGTGGAGAAAACTAACTTCTCTGGTAAAATGCACTCGGGAATAGACGGGTGTTTGGATGGATAAAAAATACAAGATAAAGAATTGGGTTTAATGTTCTTGGAACGGGGGCGGTACGAGAGGGAAAAATCAAAACGTCCGAAAAAAAGGACCCATCAAGCCTGTCTGGAGTTGAGTCTTTTGGCAGATCTTGTGATCGGTCCAAACGATAAAAGGTGGCGTCACTCCTCCAACGCCAACTTGACTGCAAACAACTCTCTGTTTAACAACTCTCTGTTACCAATGTTATAGTTACGTTCGGCAGGTGATAAGCGGTGGGATAAAAACTGTGGATCTTGTTGTCTGTGGAAGAGCGTTGGGAGTGAACTGCACCTACCCCTACCTCTGACGCGTCGACCTCCACCACGAACTGATGTGAAGGATCAGGGGCGATTAAGATGGGGGCCAAAACAAAGCGGCTCTTGAGTTTGGCTAATACAGCTTCGGCTGTATCGGACCACCTGAACGTCATTCTGGGGGAGGTCAAGGCGTTCAGAGGCGCGGCTAGTTGGCTGAAATTGCGAATGAAACGCTGATAGAAGTTGGCGAACCCAAGAAACCTCTGTAGGGCCTTTGGGGAATCTGGACTTGTCCAATCTATCACAGCCTTAACCTTGTCAGGATCCGCACTACGCACTCCCTTTAGAAGAGATGATGTAACCTAGGAAAGGAACAGACTGTGCATGAAAAGCACATTTCTCCGCCTTGACAAAAAGCCCATTCTCTAGCAACCTCTGAAGCACTCGTCTGACGTGCTGAACGTGTTCCTGGAGGGAAGAGGAAAAAATCAATATGTCATCCAGGTAGACATATATGAACTGGTCTACCATATCTCTCAACACGTCATTGATGAGTGCCTGGAAAACTGCTGGGGATTTGGATAGCCCAAACGGCATAACCAAATATTCAAAATGGCCCCTGGGGGTGTTGAACACAGTTTTCCATTCATCCCCCTTCCTGATGCGAACCAAATTATAGACATTACGTAAATCCAGTTTTGTGAAGACGGAGGATTCCTGCAACCGCTCGAAGGCTGAAGACATCAGCGGCAAAGGATAAGTATTCTTTACCGTCATGTTGTTCAACCCTCTGTAATAAATACATGGTCGCAGAGACCCATCCTTCTTACCCACAAAAAAGAACCCCACCCCCGCTAGAGAAGAGGAAGGGCGGATGAATCCAGAGGCTAGAGAATCAGAAATATATTTCTGTCTTTTACGGGACAGGTGTTCAGGAAGTGTCCCGCTCCACCGCAGTAGAGGCAAAGACCCTTTGATCTCCGTCGCTCTCTCTCCTCCCGGGAAGCCGAGCTCTACCCACCTGCATGGGCTCGTGATCGAAGACGGGCCTGATCGCATCGTTGCCACTGGTTTTAGGGCTGTCACTGTTTTTTTGTTTTTTTTTGCATTTTGAAATTTACAATTTATCAATTTCAATTTATTTGTTGAATGTTTTTTAACTGACTGTGACTATTGAGTCCATGTGCTGTCCTAACCATGATCTGAACAAAGCTAATCCGCCTTTTTTAGTTGTTGGAATTAGTCTAGCATTCTTTTTATACATTTTGTGATGTCTTTCTGACTCAACAGGACACTCTCAACACTTCCCTGACAAGCAGAGGATGACCTATTTGTTAATACACATCATAATGTATTCAACCTTCAGCTTTTTTTCTCTCGGGGGAGAGAGTGGTGGAATGAAATAAATAAATAAATAATACAAGCCCTTAACGCTGCCACGGCTAGCAAATTAGATGGAAGTGGAGGAAAAGCTTTACATGAGGTTGAGTGTAGAGGACCGTTTTTATCATCATTATTATTGTTGTTGTAGGATAATGTGTAATAATAATAAAAAGCTGAGCTTAATTTTTTTTTTCTGTTTTTTGAATAATTATTGTGCATATGTTTACTGTAGTTTATTATAATTTCAAATTATGTTAAGTATGTCTTAACCTTGTTATCCAATATCTAAGTTCATATGTTTTTTTTTATGTTTTTTTCCCTTTTTGAGTAAATTTACTGGGTATATATATATATAGACACACACACACACACACACACACACAGTGTGTGAGTCGTCTATGTGTATAAATATACTTATTTGTTTTACTGGTTTCTTTTGAGATATATTGGGGTTAATTCATAACATAACTTCTGAAAAATGTAATCCTTTCTGGCACACAAATAATTTAATCTGGACTATTTTATTTAATAACGGGACTGTCACTCTTTTCTATGAATAATTATTATGCATGTTTAGCTTATTATTATTTCAAATTCTGTTAAGTATATCTTGTTTTTGAATAGTTCTTATTGTGAGACCACAGTTTGATTCTGTAGATAATTATTTTATTAATGATTTTCTTTTTACAGTTGTGGCAGATTTACATTGTTCCACCTAAGCAGTCAACATGGCACCACATACAATGTAAATGGTATCACCACATGGTAAAAGTCTCATGATATTCCCCACTGACCACCTTTGCCTGACTTTTCCTCTTCTTTACATCTTGCAGGAATTCAATATGCTCTTCAAATTTACCTCTGTACTAATGCTCCTATAAAGGAGAAGATACTGTTTTTATTGATTCATTAATATTTCACCACAAAAATATTAATGTCTTAAGGAAAAACTCCAGACCATTAAAATTCAGTGCAGTCTGGATTACAGTGACATCGGAATGATTTATTCATATATGTATTCATATATATATATATATATATATATGTGTGTGTGTGTGTGTGTGTGTGTTGTATGTAGGTTAAAACTTGTGTGTAAATGAGCATCTGCAGTTAAGTTAAACATCTACAGCTTTCTATCACTTTGACTTTATGTTTTTATAATTGCTCATGTGTGTGTGTGTGTGTGGGTGGGTGTTGACTTCCTGAAGATGATGTGATTTAATGTGCTGTCAGTGCAGTCACAGCACAACTCCATCATGAGAGCACAGAGTCTGGGTGAAATGCCACGAGATGTCATAGTTGGGACTTTATTTCATTTACTTCTGCCTGTTTTACTTCTGACTGGTAAGTTAAAGCTGTCTTGTAGATAGTTTGAAAACAGTTGGCTTGTCCAAAAAATCTTTATGTAATAATGTAAATAAAAATGAAGCCCATTCTTGGTCAAACGGGAGTAGAGGCAAATATTCTGCTGTCTATACAAAATCTGAGGGAATACGTTCATGTTAATGTGCAGGTAGAAAGGTGGAAATGTCTCTGCACAGCAGGAATATTTTATGGTAATTCTTCTGCATTTCGGTATAGACCAATAACTGGAAGTCGGTATTATGTTCTAGAAAAACGGTATTTACCACTTTTAAGATATGTAAATAGCATCTGCCATTTTTTTTACACTAGTGCGTAACATTTAGTTTTTGCATACCAAGCATTAGAGCTGCTCGATTGACAGAAAATCAATCACAATTAGAATGTTTTTATTAAACATTAAAAAACTTGTAGGTGGATTTTCTTAAACTTTGAATATGAATAATTTAAAACATGCCAATATAGGTTGCAGAAAGCGAGAAAAGAAGGCTCTTCTAATGACTGTGTGACTTCAGCTATGAACTTCATGCCAGCATTGGCTGGAAAGATGTGGAAATAACTTATAACATTACTACCTTCTAAAAGAGTAAATATGGAAGAGTATGTAAATACATTAAAGAATATTGGATATGAAAGATGAGATAGCTAGTACTATTGCTCCCCTAGGAATAATGGTGAAGGAATCTGGATGAAATAATCCCTCAGCTTTGATAAACAGATCAAATCTGTTGTAAAACGTAGTTATCAACTTAGACAGATTTCTAGGTTACCCAGAAACGGTAACACTTTATAATAACTGCACGCTAATAATCATTAGTTACGCATTAGTAAACAGTTAATTCATCATTTATAAAGCATATACATAATAAGCAGTTTATAAATACAGCTGTAAATGCTTTATTCTTGATTTAAAAGCATATCTATAATGTGTTTAATAATTGTATTTTCATACTTTATTAATGCTCAATTTATCATTTCTAAATGAAGTATTGCATTATTTATAAACCAGTTATTTAAGAGTTGTCAGTGGTTCATAAGATTACTGAGAAAGTGTGAGTAAATGTTTAATAAACTATTGAAATGTACATTCATACATCTTATTATTCAGACATATAGTGATAGTTATTTAGTGTGTTAATAAATGCTTTATTAACATGTATTTCTACTGTAATTCAGGTAGTTATAAAGCATTTAGTAGTGGTCAGTTAACTATGTTTGTGAGCTCATCTAAAGTGAGGACTAGTTATGCCTTGTAAAGCATTTATAAAGGAGATTTAAAGGCTGTTAAATATTTCTATGTTCTGTATCACTGTGTTGTGTTTTTTTTTTGTTTAGAAGATAACTGAGCCTTATAAATCAAGAAAAAAGCATTTATAGCTGTATTTATAAACTGCTTATTAATGTCTATTAATGCTTTATAAATGATGAATTAACTGTTTACTCATGCTTAACTAATGATTATTAGCGTACAGTTATTATAAAGTGTTACCAAAGAAACTTACTTTTATAAAAATATATATATATAAAAAAAACTTACTGTCTTACTTTTATAAATGTGGAGATTGTTGTTCATGCTTGTATAACCTCAAGACTGGATTACTGCAACTCCCTCATGCAGGGATCTGACAGCGACACTGATCTGGTTTCCAGCTTGTACAGAACGCCAGGCTTAAAGAAGGGGATCACATTACTCGTGTTATCCTCTCTTCATTGGCTGCCGGTTCAGTATAGGATTGATTTTAAGATTTTATTATTGAATGAATGAATGAATGAATGAGGCATTTATATAGCGCTTTCAAATGTACTACTGTACACCCAAAGCGCTTTACAATCATATCAGGGGGTCTCTCCTCAACCAGCACCAGTGTGCAGCATCCACTTGGATGATGGGTTTAAAGCTCTCCACAACATGTCTCCAATTTATATCAGTAACCTTTTAGGATTTTATACATCGGCTAGGATGTGTTGTTGGCAGTCCCTCGTTCAGAGAAGAAGTCAAATGGTGACCGAGCTTTTACAATAGTTGCTCCTAAATTGTGGAACAGTCTTCAATCTGTATTCGGCAGGCTCCATCTATAGAGGTTTTTAGCTCTCAGGTGAAAACGTATCTTTTTAACCAGTTTTTTGAAGGGGACCTTGAGTAATTGTGTGTGTACTGTAGGCACGATAATGTGATTGGGTATTTGTGTATAAGCATGTCAATTGTTGGCATTTTTTTTGGCAGAAAAGTTGTTTTTAAATCTGCTATATAAATAAAATTTGAATTTGAAGTTAAGAAATAATTCACTTGATTACAAGTACTGAAAAAATATAAAGTATTAGAAAATGAGTAGTTTGCTGAAAATAAATTACTTCAGTTATTTCATTGCAAAGTACTTTAGTTCACTTAAGAAAGGAAAACTGTAAAGAATTGCTGAACGCGATCACTGAATTTTCAAAGCCACATGTCGTCATTGGCTATACCTCCATTAACTCTTTCCCTGCCATTGACGGAAAATTCCGGCTTTCTGTGTTTTCACTGTTATACAGTAGGGGGCGCTGTTACACATCTTCTGAAAGACTGCTGAATCTCCTGATCAAAACACAGGCGAAGAAGAAGCAGAAACTAGCGATGTCATATGCATATGTAAAATAACGCGATCATCAACATTATTAAACAGCATCAATCAAAACTGCCTAATGTTACTGAATGATATGTCAACCCAGGACGAGCTACAGGACTGAGAAGCTTTGGAGGTTTCATCGTTCTGAATCCCATCTGGATGTAGTCTTTGACAAAAACATGTTTTTCTCGGCTTTTTGCTCAAAATGTTGCTTTTTTTTAAATGAAACTTACCCATATTGATAAAAAAAAGGAATGCATGAAGCTAGAATATAGATTTTTTCTGTTTAAAAGCAGAGGTTCTGTTCTTTCTTTTGATATATTGCATGATAGATGTAGGCATACACCAAAATATTCTGGGTGCCATGAACGTTTTGAGAAAATTACCAAAAACGCTGGCGGGAAAATATTTAAATCAAGATAAAATGTTTTTTCTAGTTCATGTTTGTTAACCTTATGTTTGTGTAATAAAAAATAAAACACAAAAATAACAGACCAGGAAATAAGAATTGCGAGTCACTTAACTACCCAAGGCCTGCCGGCTCCCGGTCAAAGTAAAGCTTATAAGCTGCAGTTTATTTGCATAATCAAAGCGGCAGAAAATTTGTGTGCCATTAACTCTGATTATTGAAACAGAAGTATAATGCAAGTTGTGAAAACGTGGTGTACACCAATACTCAGGAAATTAAAAGGTTTCATGACTCCGGGTGGAATGACTAAAATCAGTGGTTCTGCCAGGCATTACAGCTCAATTTCCAAAGTTAGCAAGACAATTTACTACTTACATATTTAAAAATAAATAAATGAATGACATAATGAATAACAGACCTGTTCTTTTCCATTCTCTTGAACAATTGCCAAAACATCCACAGCATTATTATAACTAGAGTTAGTCCAGCTAATTCTCCTTAAAGACATGGTAAATATCTTTCTATCTACTCCCTTACAAGATGTCCAGTCTTATATAAGACAGCACTGAAGTCCATCTAGCCATGATGTTAATGATATAAATGGCGCTGAACAACCTGCAATCGTCTTACATTCCTTGTCCACCTTCTTGAACGGGAAGACTGAGGACAGTTGTCCTGTTTTTAAAATAATCCTTAAAAACAAAAGAAAACAAAGCTGGCTTTTCCTTTACTCTCACTAGCCAGGAGCTGGTAGTTCAGTCATTCTTCAATTGACAACTGAGAGGCAGAATTGGTCTTTACGTTAGGCCTAAAATAATTTATTTATATTTTAGAGACTTTCGGATGTGGGAAACCTACTTCCATCATTCGTCATATCCGTAAATTAACCATCAATGCTCAGGATATTGAACGCATACATAGCTTCAAGTTTCTTTGGACAATTATCTCTGCATCTTTTTTAATGGAAGGATAACCTTAGTACCATCATAGGCTTTTCTTCTTAAGACAGCTTAAAATGTTTGTTGTATGTTCAGCTTTTATAGAGCGTGATGGAAAGCATGTCAACGTTCTCAGTCACGGAGGTTTGGTGAGTCCACAGCTCAGCAGAGGAGTCAGATTAGTGGCATATTAGGATCTTCCCACCATTGCTGACATCTATGAGTCATGCCTTCTGGGAAAAAGAACATTAATTCTGATGGATCCCACATATCCGGCCAGATACCATTTAGCCCTTTACCTTCAATCCTGCTCAACACACCTGTGTGTAATTATCAAGTGCTCCTGAAGATCTCAATTGACTGCGGCTATATGTCCACATTAATCCGGATACATTTGAAAACGGCGTTTTCGTTTAAAAACATTCTCCGTCCACACTAGCGTTTTCAGGCGTTTTCCGACATTTCAGTGTGGATGAGGAACTTCTAAATTCACCTTACTGCGCATGCGTGAAACCTCACAAAAGCTCACTGAGATGGTACAGATGGAAAAATAAAATAATAAAGTTATCGCGCAATTCTTCTAACAGGATAATTTTATTTAGCAAAATATCTCACCATCACTGATGCGTCCAGGTCGCACTCGACATGTTTGGTCAGAAACGCAACTCTCCTGTAGTGCTGCAGGACAGCAGATGTGAGTACATTTTCTGTCATCTTTGCAGGACTGTGATATGAAGAGTGTGCAAAGTAACATATTTTAGCAACAGTGTAAAAGTGAATAGCACATAACAGGCACAATACCGGTAAACATGAATATGTATTGGTACAACATCGATCACATGACTAAACTTACGTCATCGTTTTCAAATACCTCCGGCTTCACAGTCCACACTACAACGCGAAAACGGCGTTTTCAAATTTTCCGCTTTGGAGAGCGTATTCCAAAAGCATTGACTTAAAACGCCGTCTCAGTGTGGACGGACAGCCCAGTCTCATCCCAAGACGTCATCTGTCTGACGCTTTTGACCTTAC